CCTGCCTCGGGGCCGACCCCCCCCCCGGCGCAGGGAAGCCCCGAGCGCGCGCGCCTGCCCCGGAACCAACCCCCCCCGGCGCAGGGAAGCCCCGTGCGCGCGCGCCTCCCTCGGGGCTGACTCACCCCTCCCATGCGGTGCAGGGAGCCCATGCTCCCTCCCGCAGTACACCCGGCAGAGCAGCTAGCGCTACTTCTGGGATCGCCAGAAGTGGCGCTAAGCTGCGGGACTTCTGTCCATCCCCGGGAAGCCGACACTACCTCCATTTTCACTGAAGGTAGGTAGTGGGGCTTCTCGGGGATGGGAGGGAAATGGGGGCGGGGCGGACAGGACGCCTCGTGATCGACTGGCCGAGGCCTCACGATCGACCAGTCGATCGCGATCGACCTGTTGGTGACCACGGTACTAGGTGCTCTTTGGGAAGGGCAGAGAGACTGAAGCTATTCCCTTTTCAATTCATACAGGAATGTTACTGGCTGTTCCCCTTCCTCAGGGGGGAGTGAGGGGAAAGTGCATTGTTTACTGAATTCCTCTCTCTGGCTGGGGAGTGCAAGAGGCAGATGAACCTTGACCTGCCCCACCTGGGGGACGGGCACCCCTTTCCCCGTTGTGCCCACTGAAGCTGCAGCAGCCACACTGAGGCACTTCTCACCTGGCTCCAAGCTATTGTTGCAGAGAGGGCTGGGGTAGTCCCCTCTCTCTGGGGCAGCCTGCATACTGAACCCTTCATTTCCAGCCCCACCCCAGAGCAATGATTCAAATGAAGCATGTACATAATACTGGCTGAAACAGCTATCTGTATCTTGTGCCACACTCTTATGCAGAGGTGGAGACATTGGATTCAAATGGGTATTCCTAGTAGGAGGCTGGCACCTATAGGATACATCTACACAGCTATGCAAATTGTGAATCTTATTTCAAAACTATTTTGAAATAGAGCGTTATTTTGAAATTTGGCACTGTGTAGCCAAATTTCAAAATAAGCTATTTCAAGCCATCCCTAATCCCTCATGCAACAAGGTTTATCGGAATGGCGAAATAGCGCACCCATTATTTCAAAAAAATATTTCAAACTAACAGGCAGCATGTGTAGACATGGCTTGTTTAGACCTCTGGTATCCCAAAATAGCCATGCAGTGTAGATGTACCAATAGAGTTCTGCTGTTTCTAGGCCTACGATCCAATGGCTTAGGATCCTTCAGTACCTCAGATATAGCTTTCCTTTCAGAAGTGGAAAACAATACCTTTGTCAGCATCTTGGACTTTATTCCTTGATGGCTAAGGGACTGATGCAGGCCTCTCACTACTTACAAAACCAATGTTTAAGGAACCAGAGAGTTTGGCTACAATTGCATGCTGAAATAGCAAGGCTTGGAGATGGTTCTGATGCTCCTTGCCAGCTCTTGTGAAAGTGCTGTCGTTTGTGCACAGGGAAGCAGAATGTCTTTCCCTCAAACAAGTCACACATTTCATTTGGTTGTCCAAAGAAGAGACAAATGATAAATCTTTTAAATTTTGGTCTCCTCTCCTTCAGATTCACCACAGGATCTATAAGCTCACACCAAAGGGGTGAGAAGTAATACAAATGAACATTGGAAATAATTTTAAGGAAAATAATCTAAATTTCTAACACAAATCCTAACTAATTCAGAAATCTAACAAACATACTGAATCTTTAAAGAAGTTGACTCTGGGATGGAGAAGCCTAGGGAGGTTCCTGGTCTGTCTGCTGCCACTGTGGAAAGAAAGTAAGGCAGCTGGAGCTCCATACCCCTTTTGTAACCTTGCTGTCAGCATGTTCAGGAACCAGGAGGAGAGAGACAGCAGAGGATGCAAACACACTCCAACAGGCATTGCTATGAAACATTCCACTATCGGAGCTGCACCACCTCTATCACCCAGGAGTAGGAATATGTAAAAACCACTCAAGGAATTCTCTCTGAAACAAAACTTCTTTGTCAACATATGCTGCAGCATTTTGTAACATAGCATTCCAGTTCACTGGCTTGTTTAGGAAACATAAATGTAAACTGACAGATATTGCAACCCTATGTACTATCTTTAGGGAACACAGTATAAAACGTATGTTTATGTGTGACTGTGTTCTACTTCATAAGGGAGGTTACCATGGCTCCCCTAGGAGCTGATTATCTCTGGGACTGTAAGCAACTCCAAAAGAGTTCCACCCTCTGTGTTTTCCAGGGACAAAGAGAGGGCTTTTGATATATAAAGATAAGTTGAATAACTGGTGGCCTTCCTTGTGATTCAGTACAGGGACTGAACTTTCTGAACAAGCAAAGGCCCTATGCATTGCTGAAGTTTTGGAAGGAAAACTGGCCTATTAGGCGCCACATGTGGAAAATAGGTTATTTCTGGTACATTTAGAAAGAATGTAAGTGTATTTATTGTTTTTAATACAGGCCATCTTCGCTATAAGTCCAAGATACTTTCCAAAAAACTTGCACTTACAATGAAACAACTTAAAGCAGGACATTTTTTCCCCACAGCTGACTTCCATTTGCACAAATTAGGGTGGTTTTTTTTTTTTTTGCATGACTTAAGAGCGGGGAATGGGAGGACTTATAACACATCAGTTCCTACAAGCATCAACGACTTTAGGGCAAAACGGATGTATACTGGGGCAATTTATATGCTTTTCCTGTAATACTTTTGCCTTATGAATAAATGTACTTGCCTTGGGAAAACTATATTGGCACTGGTAAAAACACTGTTATTGTCCTGAGCTAAGCTCAGCCCAGGCACTGGCTGTTAGGCAGACTGGCTCGCTGGGAATATCAAAGTGTGTAGCAGGGGGTTGTGCAGTCTTTAACCCTGGTCAGAAGATAGTGAGACAACAGTCCCCACCAAGAAATAGGTGACAGCTGGAGACCTGACTAAGCACTTCTGGAATAGACCACAGAAGGAATAAACCTACAGTTACACTGACACTTTAAAGCATTGCTTTTGTGTAATGTCTGGCGCCAAGTAACAGTTCTGGAGCTCTATACCAGAATGTTACCACAACTGGATCCAAATCTGCTAAAGGTTTCAGAGGCGAGTTGAACAATCTGGCAAAACCCATGTCAGCTGAAAAATAAATATTAAAATTGTTGTTTGAGTATACATAAGTCACATAATGACACGCAATATTTACAAGCATGGTAAGACAGATTTTTATTCGAACACGATGCAACCTAATATAATTGAACACTATAAATCATGGCTACTGAATTACTTCAGATTTTATACTAGGCTCAATTCTGTTGATTTCTATTAAGTGAGACCATTATTTAACATTTAAAAAGAGGCTTCTTTGTGGAACTGTAGCACAGTAAAATAGGGCCATAATCAAGGTGGGACTAGCAGAGCAGCGGCCTAGGGTTTAAAGGCACAGACATAGAAAAATAGGGCATTGGGGCACGCTGGGGCCATGTCTTCCTCCTCCCTGCCTTCCATTTGTGGAGTTCACCTCTTGCCAAAAACTGATGGATTAGAAGCTAGTGGGAGTTGCCCACCCTGCTTGGGCACTTGACTCTCTGTGCTGTGAAAGCCAGGACACTGGTTAGTTGCCCTGCAACCTTCTCTGCCCTACTCCCAGAGCCAGGCCACTTCTGCTAAGCAGGACAGTTAGCACAACTCCAAACTGCCTCTCAATATACTCTTGTCTCTCTCCTCTGAAGGAGCCCGATACCTGCTAACCCTTGCCTTCAGAGCCCGGATGCCATCAGATGATCTCAAGGCGAACAGTGTGCTATAGATTTATACCCTGGCTTACTGAGCAGCAATGTCCCCCATGGATATTGCTCACTTTTTATATTATTTTATTACAAATATTTGCACTGTAAAAATTATAAATAAAAAAATTATTATTCTATTCACTTCATGCAAGTACTATTGTGCAATCTGTTCATTGTGAAAGTGCAACTTATACATGTAGCTATTTTGTTACATAATTGTACTCAAAAACAAAACAATAGAAATCTTTAGAGCCTACTAGTCCACTCAATCCTATTTCTTGCTCAGCTGATCGCCAAGACAGACAAGTTTGTTTACATTTACAGGAAATAATGCTGTCCACTTCTTATTTACAATATCACCAGAAAGCAAGAACAGGCTTTCATGTGGGACTTTTGTAGCCAGCATTGCAAGGTATTTACATGCCAGATATGATAAACATTCATATGCTCCTTCATGCTTTGGCCATTATTCCAAACATGCTCCCATGCTTATGACACCCCTTAAAAATGTCTTAATTAAATTTGTGACTGAACTACTTCGAGGAGACCAGTATGTCTTTGGCTCCATTTTCACCACATTCTGCCATATATTTTATGTTATGGAAGTCTCAGGTGATGACTCAGCTTATGTTCGTTTTAAGAACACTTTCGCTGAAGATTAGGCAAAACACAAAGAAGGTACCAATGTGAAATTTCTAAAGATAGCTACTAGGGATGTTAAAGACTAGGGATGTTAAAAGCTTATCGGATAGTCAGTCAACTAGTTGATTCCCCCGCCCCCGCTTCCTCTGTTACGTAGAGGCAGCAAAGGGGAGGGAAGAGGAGGTACTTGAAAGTGGCAGCGCTGCACAGGTGAGCCTGGGATCAGCTGTGAGGCCCTGTGTGTGTGGAGTCCGGGGTCAGCTTGGGACTCCCCAGCTGATCCCGGATTCCATGGAAATGCGGCACTGGAGCCCGGGATCAGCTGGAGAGTCCCAAGCTGACCCCGGACTCCACACACACAGGGCCGCACAGCTGATCCCAGGTTCAGCTGTGCAGGGCTGCCACTTTGAACACCGCCTCGGCATTTCAAAGGGGCAGCGCCGCACAGCTGATCCTAGGATCAGCTGTGCGGCGCTGCCCCTTTGAAATGCCGAGGCTGGCTCTTTGAAATGCACAAGGGCCCCCACTGGGGACTCATGTCCTTTCAAAGCTGGCACCCATGTGCAACCCAGAGTCAGCGGGACTTCCCACTGGCCCCAGGTTGCACACGGAGTTCTGCATTCCTCCTCTGAAATGTACTAGAGCCTCTCTGGGAGCTCTTGTACGTTTCAAAGGAGGAATGTGGAAGTGCCTATCGACTAGTAGAATAGTTGATGGAAATTCCATCGACTACTCGACTAGTCAATGAACTGCTAGTTAACATCTTTAATAGTTACAGCATTCCACACAAGGTGTAAAAATATGAAGTGCCTTCCAAAATGTGAGAGGGATGAGGTTTAGAGCATGCTGTCAGAAATCTTAGAAGAGTAACACTCTAGTGCAGAAACTACAAAATCCAAATCACCAATAAGAAAATTAACCTATTGTTGGCATGTAACTCAGATGATGAAAATGAACATGTGTTGATCCACACTGCTTTGTATTATTATCGAGCAGAACCCATCATCAGCATGGATGTATTCCTTTGGAACCAGGTATAGAGAAAGAAGGCACATATGAATCTTTAGTGCATCTAACTTGAAAATACCTTGCAATTCCAGCTACAGTAGTGCCAGGTGAATACTATTTCTCACTTTCAGGTGACATTGATAATAAGAAGTCGGCAGCACTATCTACTGCTAATATAAACAAACTTGTTTGTGTGAGCGATTGGCCGAACAAAAAACAGGTATGAGTGGGCTTGTAGACTCTAAAGTTTTACATTGGTTTATTTTTTAATGCAAGTGTTATACATAATTCTATATTTGTAAGTTCAACTTTCATGATAGAGAGAATGCACTACAGTACTTGTCTTAGGTGAACTGAAAAATTTTATTTTTAAGTGCAAATATTTTCAATAAAAATAAATATAAAGTGAGCATTGTGCATTATGTGTCGTGTTGTAACTGAAATCAATATATTTGAAAATGTAGAAAGTATCAAATGTAATTAAATAAATGATATTCCATTATTAGCAGTGTTATTGATTGTAATATTTGTAGTCAAGTAATTAATCACAATTAATTTTTAATCACTTGACAGCCCTATTAAGACCATAAGAATTTCCCTACTAAATAAGACCAATTATCCAGTTATCCTTTTAGTCCAGTCAACTGTCTCCAAGGGTACGTCTAGACTACATGCCCCTGGCGGCAGAGGCATGTAGACTAGACTACCAGGCATAGGAAAATGAAGCGGCGATTTAAATAATCGCCGCTTCATTTAAATTTACATGGCTGCCGCGCTGAGCCGATCAGCTGTTTGTCGG